CTGTACCAAAGTTTTAGGAAATAGGCACAAACAGCTCCTCAGCTGCACTGCAGCCTCTCATTTCAGCTCTGAAGGTGCACCCTCAGCATCCCCCGAGCATTTCGAAGCCTGGTGCTCCCAGCCCACAGCCCGGAGCCAGGCTCAGCCCTGCTGCCGGGAGCGCTGGCACCCTCTGAGCAGCACAGGGGAGCCAGGGAGAAGGGACCCCAAGGGAGACACTCGGCGCTGGACATTCCATAGCTCATGGATGGCTGATGCCCAGGCGGGTGCTGCCTTTGGAGCTCTCTGCAGCCCAGCTGATGCTGCACCTACTGAAGTCTAAGCACCAACCCCTGCGTGGCTCCAGCACTCAGCTGTCATTTTATTTCCACATGCAGCCCCAAAACGCCTAGGGGAACTGTGCCTCCCTTCCGGCTTTCCTAAAAACTTCCTAACCGGCAGAGAAACGTACAACTCAATCTTTAACTTGATTTTCTTCGCCGCACTGGTGCTGCACAAAATCCAGCAAACTTCCAGTTTGGCGCAGTGGGAATTGCAGCAGGGAGAGATGAAGCAACAGGACTTGTTTTATGCAGAAAAAAAGGGTTGTTTTTGTTGTTTTTTTTCCTGCGGGTCCTCCAAGCTCCATCCTCCACCTCGCCTGGGCAGGGCAGAGAGGAGTTGAGCGCCCGGGTCAGCGAGCAGCCAGACGCCACCAGTGTGTGAAGAGCAGCCCTTATTCTGGTCAGGGCTCGGCTCGGAGCAGTAACCACAGCCAGCAGCAGCTGAACTCGCCGCTACAACACAAAAAACCCTTCTCGCCTCTCTTCAGTACCGTGTTGCTCTCTGCACCCTCCCTCCACCCATTTCTCCAGCTCCAGAAGGGCGGAAAAAAAAATTAAATCAAAGCGGCGGGTTTTCCTGGATTAAACGTGCAAAATCCAGAGCAGTTACCGCTGGAGTTGTGTTTCCCAACTACCACGAGTGCTTGGACCACACAAGACATTTCCAGCGAGGGATGGCGAGAACGCACATCCCAGCTAACGATGGGAACAGGCGGGGAGTCCCGCGGAGCGCATCTCTCCTGCCTCCCTGCCGGACGGACTTCTCTACATCCCGGCAAGGATGCCAGGAGCATGAGGGAAGGAGGCTGAAAGGGCGGCGGGATGGATTTTAAGAGCAGGAGGGGGGATGGAAAGTCATAAAAGCGCTCGGAAAGTCAATTCGCCTTCGGCAGCGGGCAGAGCCCGGGCGGCGCCGCTGCGCTGCGACTTTGGGGTGCGCTCCGTGCTCCTTTCCAAAAGACACCCCCAAAAAACCCCACCCGGAGCTCTCTGAGCACCCCCCCCCCGCAGCGGTCAAGCCTCTCCCCCCCGGCCAAGCCTCTCCCGCCGCTGCCCTCGCACGGAGAAGGGGACGGGGCTGCGCGGAGCGGGGCGCGGAGGGGACACGGCGCTCACCGGGGGACGGGAAGAGCTCGATGTCCACCTTCTCCGTCTTGATGATGGTCAGATCCACCGCCGCCTTCATGGCTGGGGCAGCGCCGCGGGGGCGTCGCGCCGGGAGCGGGGGGCGGCGGCTGAGCCCCGCCGAGCGCGGAGCGGGGCGCCCGGGGCAGCGCGGCCGGCGCTGCCTCCCTCCTCCCGCTGCTCTTCCTCCTTCTCCTCCTCCTGCTTCTTCTCCTCCTCCTGCTTCCTTCCTTCCTCCCTTCCTTCCTTCCGCGCTCCCTCGCTCCGCTCCCGGCTGCGCTGCGCTCCCCGCTCCGCTCCGCTTCGCCCGTCCCCGCCGCCGCCGCCCCGGCCGGGCTGAGCCGAGGGGAGGGCGCTGGGCCGGCCCCGAGCGGTGACAGCGGCGGGACGGACCCGCCCCGCCCCGCCCCGCCCCGGAGGCGGCCCCGGGCCCGGCGCTGCGGGGAGCGGAGCCGGCGCTGCCGGGGGGAACGGGGGAACGGCGGAACGGGGACGGAGCGGGGGCAGCGAATCCAGGGCGCCTCGGCCCCGACCGCTGCTCGCATCCCGGTGCCCGAGCACGACGGGATAAGAGTTTGAGCACGCTGGCTGTGGTGAAACCGATGGTTCTCGAAACCAGGCCAGTTATCTTCACCCTGCCTGTCTCGACATGAACGGCCGCCTTTCACACTCACCCCTTCAGCTCCCATCACCCCTTCACGCTCACATCACCTCCTCACATTTCCATCACCCCTTCGCATCCCCATCATCCTCCCTGGAGCAGCCTGATCTCCCACCCACAGGCACATCCAAACTCAGGGACACAGCCGGGGCAGAGCAGTGTGCGTTGTGCTGTGGTGGGTGACAGCCAGGGATGGTTGTTCCCAGGCCTGCTTGGTAGAGGTGGGAGGCCGAACTGACTGGATAAAAAGCATCTTGAAGATGCAAGATGAGTGTCATGCCAGCACAGCATGGAGTTAACAGAAGAATATCGGTTTTCACATGAAATCTGTTTGATTGTATTTAGGTAGCACAAACTTCAGACCACAAACGGCACAGCAGAAGGAGAGTATGACTCACAGATGTCAGCTTACCGGTACGGAGAAAAAAAGTCATTAGCAACCAGCTCTTGTGGTTCTGTCACTCCGAAAGTCTTTAACAGCTTCCGACTCTGGCACAGATCAGGCTGCTCTCATCAAAGATGGGCTCAAGTGAGCACAGGCCTGCAGGAGCAGCTGCCCGGGGTCACGGTCACTGCCCAGCCCTTAGGATGGACCAGGGTCTCGCTTGCAGACACCCCTGAAACCTCCCAAGGCCCCGAAAGATCAGCTGCAGATGCAAACGCTGCAGCTCTGAATATTTCGCTTCTGCAGTGGGCCCTTTCTCAGCCACTAGCATATTTATAGCAGGAGAGTTTGAGCAACTGAAAGAAGCTGCGAGGAGGCAGGGCCAGACGAGGAGAGCTTTGGCTGCACACACGGCTTTGCCAAGGCAGGAACATCGAGCAGCAGCGGGGCTGAGAGCTGGCAAAACTGGCCAGGGAGCTCCAGCCCAAAGTTCATCTTCCTCACCCAGTGACAACCTCTCGCATTCCCAATTTTACATGCAATCTTGTTTTCTATTTACTAGCAAGCTCTGTTCTGCAGCAGTGGGGTGGGACCAGCGATTTGCTGTGATGGAAAATCTCCCTGCACTGATTCCTGAAGCTCGGGAGAGCCTGAGCCGTGCTCAGGCAGAGCACAGAGTTGGAAACCTCGTCTGGTGGTTTGAAACCTACCACAGGAATGAACCTGGAAATCCGAAGGTGGAAAGAGGATGGCTGCAGGGATAAAATGTGGTCCCTCCCTGGGACATGATCATGTGCTTGCACCTGCCCTCGGTTTGGGTTTCTTTCTTCCCCCGTGCATCAACGATTGAAGGAAGAAAGTACAGAGAGGAGATTTAGCAGAACATTTCCAACTGAAAATCAAAAGGGGATTCGGGAGAAACAGCTGCCTTTCTGTCTGATCTCTGATCCCTCCAGAGCAGGCTTGGGAAGAGAAACCTGATGCAGTTATCAGAGCCCCCAGCCCTTCCCTTCCTGCGCTGCTGGGCTGGGATCCCGGGCAGGGAGAGCAGGGGCTGGCTGGGGGGGCCGCTTTGTGCAGCTGCCTGGCGGAGCCAGCAGAAAGCACCTGCGGTCCCAACCGTATGGAAATGACCCCCCCGTGGATCGCTCAGCCCGCTCGGAGCGCGGCTGCAGCAAACCACAACCCCCGGAGCGAAACAGAGCAGGAGGCGCGGCCAGGCCACTGGGACTCGCCCAAACACAGCCTGGGACAGGCGGCTGGTGGCACAAGCTCTCCTGGGCAGAGGCCCTGGATGGAGCTGCCACAGACTGAGGTGCAGCAGCACAGAGGCAGAGGGTGCCCTGAGGTGTCTCTGCTTTAGCCTTGCTCCCCTGGCCCATGCTTTTGGCTCAGCCTCCCCTGCAGTGTAACCATCTCTAGGACTGGCTGAACTCCAGGGCACCTGTACTGGAGAGCCTTCTCTTCTGGACCAGAACAGACCAGGTCTAATAAAGATCTCTCTCACAGCTTTGTAGGGTTTTTATTATGCTTCTGGCATCCCGACTGAGCCCAGCTTGGTGCAGGATGGCTGCAGAGGAGCTCTGAGCTTTCCCTCAGCACCTTGTGCCTCCCCAAACCTGTGTTCCGTTTTGCTGGTGCAATGCATGGCAACCCCCACATGCAGGGAAACTGGAAATGCTTCCAAAAGTAACACCAGGGCAAAAATCTCCAAAGGGGAGGAAGAGAACAGAGTGGCTGTGGACAGAGGTTTCCTCCCAGGGCAGCTGAATCTCTCCTTCGAGCTCCATCCCAGCAGCCGCCTTAATTTGTGTTCACTTCAGAGCTGCAACATGAAAGCCCTGGCTCTGAGCTCCAGCTGAGCCGCTCAATGGCTCAGTGTTCGCAGAAGGCATGGAAGGAATCCATTGATTAGTTTCTTCAGCTGGGATGTGACCATTCCGAGTCCAAGACCTGCCAAACATGACTTCGCCTCAGCAACTGGTTCCTATTTGCTGCTCACAGGCTTTAGGAAAATCTTTCCTCTTCCCCATCCAAGTCTCACCCTCGTTTTCCACTGTGTGGTTAGGGAACGTGAATATCCATTCAGGCTCTGTCCGGGAGGGAGGATGAGGGACTGGAGAACGGCCCTGCAGCCCCGAGATGGGCGATAACCGTCTGCCCTCCCTCCACAGTGCAGCCCCACTGTTTGAAACTGCTGGGAACAAAGAAAGGATGGGCAGTAATGCCCCATTGTTCCCATTGCTGACTAACCTCGACTTAACAGAACAATAATTATTCATTCAGCACTGAGGAAAGGTGTTAGGAGAGACGGGCCTTTGCTGTGATTTCCCAACCCAAGGACGGCTCTTCCATAACCTCTCTGCTGGCTGGGATGGCTCTTTCACTTCTCTACGGCCAAATTCAGTCCTGTCCCAGTCCAGGGCAGCTGCTGGCTCTCCTTCAGATGTCGTGGAGCTGGGCCAGCTTGTCCTTTCCCTCGCATTTCCCCATTCTCATTCCAGCAGGAATTAGGTGTAACTTCTGGTCTGGAGAGGGAGCTTTTCCGAGCACTGCTGCTACCAAAACATGGGGTGAAATACGAGGGCCACGTAATAACGTGGAGCATCCACCCAGCTGTAATGGCCAGGAAATGAAGAACACCATATCCAATTAAAACTGCAGGGGGATATTTATGGCAGAACGTAATTAGCCAAATTGGAGCCTTCCCCAAAACTGCCATGGGATTTTTAATGACCGCAAGTGGTCAGGGATTGGGTTTGATGTTTTGTCAAGTAAACAATACCCAGAGGGCATGAGACAAAAATCAGGAGCAAAGGGGAAAGGAAAAAGAAAAACAAAACAAAACAAAACAAAACAAAAACCTGTCCTGCAATTCCATGGAGAAACGGAGACATGAAAGGATTTATCGTAACGGGGACATTGTTGGAAGGAGCAGCAGCCACCACTCCAAGAAAGGAAAGAGCAGGGAGGTGGCCCTGGGTGTGGAGGTGGCCCTGTGCAATGAGAGGAAAGAGCAGGCAGCTGCCACGGCCGTTCCCCTGGGAGATACCTTTCCTGGAATTTAAAATGATACAAGAAATTCTTTCAAACGCCGTTATAGCTGGGAAGTATTGGAGTATTTTGGTAAGAGGAGGCTGGATTAGCCCTGCTGATTCCAGTTTTTTGCTCGGTCATGGAAGCAGAGCTCGCCAGTGGCACATCCTGCGTGTGCCCCGGGCGAGCTGCAGGACCGGGCCACTCCCAGAGCCAGCGCTGGGGTCCCGGAGGTGATGACCGTGCCCCAGATGTGGCCCCAGATGTGGCCCCGGAGGTGCCCTCGCTGCGGGGCTGGGCACGGAGGGTCCCCCAGCAGGAAAAGCAGGGCAGTGTTCCCGCTGGGATGTGCAGCCCTGGGCCGGCCCAGCCCCGAGCCCTGCTGCCACAATGCCCTCTGTGAGTGACTGTCCCCGGGCTCCGAGCCTCCGCGGCTCCTGCTCTCATTAATCCCGGCGGGGAGGGCTCACAAAAGCCGCTTTGTGGCCAGCGGGGGTCAGGGCTCGGCACACAGAGCCCGTCACACGCCGGGGGACCCCGAGCGAGCCTCACGGGCTGCTCGAGCATCTCCAAGTGCCTCCTGCTCCCAGAGCTGATCCTCGGTGTGCCTGTGGATGTTTGGCCAATTCCCATAGAGGCTGATACGAGGTCCTTTGGCAGGAACGCCAAAATGGGACCTTCAGACCCCTGCTAGTACATGGGATTGGTGGGTTCCCCATCTTCCTGAAGCAATTTCAGAACTGCAAGAATTGGGCATTCTTGGTTCTGTGAGAATGAACTTTTGTGCTGTTTTTAATTAACAGAAGAAAATCGAGCTTTAGTTAAGGATGTTTCTCCCCATCATGTTATTTATAAAAATCAAACTTTTTGGTGTAATCAGACTTCTTTGGTTCAATTGACATTTAATAACGTTACTTATCAGTTGCCACGAGGGATGTTTTTTATTTGTGGGGACAGAGTTTGGCCTGCCATCCCAGCACACATCAAAGGTGGACCATGTAGTATTGGAAAACTTACTTTGCTAGCACCCAAAATGAAAAAGTCTATGAAGTATAGGGTAAAGAGATTTACCCATCTTTATAAACCAGACTGCAAGGATGATTTTACACCTTGGGGTCTTGGGAAGAGACGTCCATCGTCTCTTCTTTTGCCACAACTTATTTCGGCAGTGGCATTGAAACAGTTGGATCTGCTGAGGAGCTGCTCTGGGAACTGAGTCTGCTGTGCTGACGGGGACTCCGTGCCATTCGCTCGTGTCCTGCTGTGGCTGGAGGGAAAAGCCCCGGAGGCGGCTCTGCAGCGCTGTTTGCTCTCCGGACATTGCCCCGCTCCCCTCAAGTCACCGAGCTCTTGGTGAGCACATCCTGGAGGGTTTTGCTGTTGAACTCCCGATATTCTCAATTTCACCGAGCACGTGCAGCCAATACACCTCAAATCTCACCTGCAGACACCTCTCTCACCTTTGCTCAGATCTCCTGGCTCAGCTCTCTCTCCTTCAGAGCACAAACAAAGGAGCCCGCTCAGGTTTAAGCAGCACAGCTCTGCTTGTGGCTGCATTCTTGTTCACCAGTTTCTCCTTTCTGAACTGATCCCTGGCAGCCCTTGAAATTCCCTTCCCTGGCATCCACGGCGGCATTGTGAAGGAGAGGCAAAGGAATCATTGCTCATAAATGATCTCCTGACAGCCAGACTGTGATCACTGACACTTATCTGCCCTTTCCACCTTTCAAAAACCCATCACCACCAGAACACCACCCACTGCTTCACCAAACACCAAGAGACACGGGCACATTTCACTTTATCAAGGTCCAAGAGACACAGAAGCACCTCCCAAGGGAGGTCAGTCCAGCTCCAAGCTCCAGTATAGACTCCACAGCCTAAGAAGAGGCAGCCACCAGGAAAATCCCATGTTCACAGCCAGTTGGAAGTGATCAGCCCAGGAAAATAAACCACAGGACTGCAGTGTCCCCCAGGTTAAGGCCAGGCCAGGGCAGAGGGGTTCAAGTGATGGAAGTTTAATTCCTTGTCAATATTTCCACCTTTGTGTCTCCATCCCTTTTTTTTTTAATTACATTTTCTCCTGTCCCAAGGAGCTGCGTGTTCAGCAGTGCCAAAGGAAAAGCTCAGGGGCTGGGGACTGTGATTGGGTCTCTCCAGAGAGATATTTGACGGGAGAGCTCAGGAGAGAGAACTGGGATTTCCATCCCTTGTTCCACAGGACCCTGGGAGGCACAACCAAGACCCAACAGCCAAAATCCCTCCATCCCAAAGCACTGTCCTGCCAAGGCCATGGAGTGACAGGTGCACACAGTTTAGAGAGAGAATTCAGGGATGGGCACGACTATGCCATGTACACCGTGCCCAGAGCGTGGAAACTCCAGGATGAGCCCCAGAGCCCTGGAACTGCCCTCCACAGAGAGGCTGTGCCAGCATCACCCCCAGCATCGCTCCTGGGATGAGGGATCCGCCTGCAAATGCGTCTCCAAGAGGGAAAACCCTCGCCCGGCGCTGGAAATCTCTCCCTCAATTGTCCGCGCTTGGCAACCTGGCCTGGCAGCGAATAAACGCCAGGGAAATATTCCTCCCTACACGTGTTTGGGTTTTTCGGGGTGGTTTTCTTGGCCGCCGCTCCTGGCTCTGCAACAATGCCCGGCTTGTTCGGCCCCGCGCTGCAGGGCAGGCTTGAATAGATCTGTCTAAAATTATAAGCGGGCAGCCCCTGGGCTCTGCGAGATCACAGAGCCCACGCTGGGGCTGAACAAAGCCCTCGCTATTTCCCAACAATTAGCCCGGCTAAAAGGACATCTATCTCCTGCCATCAGAGCCACCACGTGCCTCCCAGCCAGCCCATTGTGCAGCTAATTAAATAACACGCCTCTCTCCCCGGGAGCGACTCCTGATTAGCTCGCCGAGGTCCTAAATCCTCGCGGGTGTGAATGGGGACAGACAGCTGCTGGCCAGGGGATCGCGGCTCCCGAGGGGATGTGGTCACCCCGGGACAGCAGCACCGGGGATTTCAGGGCTTTAAGGGACCTTAAAGCTCATCCAGTGCCACTCCTGCCATGGCAGGGACACCTTCCACTAGCCCAGGTTGCCCCAAACCTTGTCCAACCCGGCCTTGGACACTTTTAGGGATCAGAGCCACAGCTTCTTTGGGCCGGCAAGGGATTAACTCCTTCCCAATATCCCATTAAACCCACCCTCTGCCAGTCTGAAGCCATTCCCTCATCCCATCGTCAGGGAGTTGTTGGACAGAGATCCTGGGATCCAAGAGGGTTCAGCACACTCTGCTTCCCCATCCACCTCCCAGCTGCCTGCAGGAAAAGCCGTGAAAACAGAGGATTTATTTATTATTTTCCATGCTTTGCTGGTGGCAGGAGGAAAAAATCAGATGCAAATATTTTTTCTAAATATGTTCCTGGCTGATACAGACCAGTTTGTTGTAGAGTTTTTTTCCCCTTTTCCCACACTTTTCATTGGGTTAAAGCAGTGGAAAGAAAATAAACAAGGAAAATGTTGTGTCATTCAGCCAGAGCTAAAACTTTCTATTTTTGCACTTTTAATATGGGAAGGAATTGCAAAATGGAAAAAAAAAAGGCCTATTAAAAGTAATTTGTTAACAAGCTCTTTTCACCCAGTTAGTTCACCTCTTCGAGGAGGATTCTGTGGGAGGGGATGAGGATGAGGCCAAAGGGAAGCTGGGAAGCCGATTTATATTCTATGAGATAAAACAAAATAACCTCTGGGGCTTGGAGTTTCCTTCCAATCCAAAAAAGAGTTCTGGGAAGTGAAGAAAATCCACTCAGATGATGTATCAAACACCCCAAGGCCACCTGAAATGTCCTGGGCCACCACAAGCATCCCTGGGGGAGGTGGCCAGGGACCTTCTGAAGATCCAACCTGCACCAGCTCGAGCCAAAAGCCACGGCAGGATTTTCTCCCCATCCCAGCCCAGTTCCTTGGGCTGAGCTCCAACACAACAGCCCAGAGCTCCTAAATCACTCCAGATGTTCAGCACCTTTCCTCACACGCTCCCAAGACCCGGAAGAAATTCAGTTTCCTTCTGTCAAGGCCCCAGTCAGCAATAGTTGCAAATATCCCTTTTACCCCCTTTAAATCATCGTTTCCCAGCCCTGGCTATTTCAATCATCATTTTCACACTGGAGAGCCTGGCTGGAGGACTGGGAAGGTGGGGCAGCAGATTAATGAGCTGATTTCCTGTGGACCTGCAGCTCCAGGCTGGAAGCAGCTGGACCTGCTGCTGCAGACAGAGCTCCATCCACCCAAGGAAAAGAGAAAATCCTCATCCCTTGTGAGGAGGGGGCAGCAGGAGGAAGGACACAGAGGAGGAGGAGGAGGTTTTGTTCTCATGGGAACCAAAGCTGGCTCCTATTTTCCAAACCCACCCTGGGGAGCAGCTGCTGGTGGAGAAAAAGCTGGGAAGCTTTAGGAATGCACCAGGGAATTATTAATATGTGCACACCCATAGGGTTTCATTGGAAAAGCACAGGGAGCTTTTTCAACGCTGTTGTCAAAATCATATTTGCCCTGCACTCAGGAAATGCAAAGGTTTTACAGCAAATAACCAGATTTTACAGGGGTGCATCCACATTAAAAGATGTGCCATGGCTCACACAAAGGCCCAGAAGGGGCTACACAAGAGTCCAGCCCCAAACACAGTTTAACATAAGCCAGGAGCAGCCTCCTCAGCCCTCCAGCAGCCTTCAAACCCCACAGCCAGCTCTGAGAGCTCCATTCATCCCAAACTCCCAAATAAAGGGCAGGAGCCAAGAAAAAGCTGCCTCCCCTCACCCAGCCAGTGCCCTCGATCCCAAAGCTCTGGGAATGGCTCCACAGCCACTTGATTAATAAGGGCCCAGGGGGGGAAAACCGTTTATATAACCTCGTCTTCTCTAAACTTCCTAAGTGCTTCAGAAAGTGGCTGCCCTGGAAACCCAAACTGGAAACGAAAAATATTATCCTGCCATTTATAAACATCCCTGGTGCTAATGAAGTGAGGAGCAGCAGCGCTGGCCAGTGAGGGCAAGGTGCTCTTGGCAGGCGTGGGAGAGCCCAAAAACCCTGAGTTCAGGTGGTTGTGGAGGGGAAAGTCCTCCCACCATGATGCAGTGCCACTGGAACTGTGAGGCCCTGGGGCAAGGATTTGGGAACAGGGAGGTTGTGGAAGTATGTGCTAAACACAGGGGATGGGAGCAAATGTGGAGGGAGGAGGGCAGAGTGATCAGAGCCAGGCAGGAACAAGTGGGATTTTAGAAACCTCTGAAATCATTCCCTGAGCCCAGAGTGGGGCTGGGGTGAAGCAGCACATCCTGCTCCTGGAAAGCAGGGAAGGGGATTTGGTGCTTGCTGTGCTCCAGAGCCTGTGGGATGAGCTGCCCAGGCCAGGCTGCTCGTGCAGGTCAGCAGAGCAGGGCTGTTTACACCACAGTGCTCTGAATAAACACAGAGCAGCCCAAATTTAGCTCCTGGGTTCAACCACCCCGTGCCTCACAGCCCCTCGGCCACACATCCCAATCAGGAGCCAGGACAGCAGAACACTGCAGCCCATGGCTCCATCTGCTTTCCCTGCTGGCATTTCCCACGGAGATTTGTTTTTGCATCAGCACCAGAAAACGCTGAGGTTTGGCTGGAAATATTTGGATTTGGTTTTGACAAAATATTGATGATTTCCGCCCAACAATCTGTCACTTTTGGCAGCAACAAAGAGAAAAGTGGAAAAAAAAAAAAATAGAGGTTTTTCCTCAAGATATGGGGACTGAGCTGACACCCAGCTACTGGGCTGCCTTGTTATCCTGTCAGTCTGATTACTGCAGAGCAAGGAAAACTGCTCCTACTTCCATGGAGTGGCTGTTTGCCTGGATGGAAACACAGCCAGAGCTGCCAGACACAGGAGGCCTCTGCTCTCCTGGGGTCAGGCAGGAGCTGGATGCAAAGCAGAGGAGGAGCAGGTCTGGACACCTCTGGAGATGTCTCAGATAGCCCAAGGTTGCTCGTGGTGAGGAGCTGGTCCAGGGCAGGAGGAGATGCCAGCTTTATTTCCATCACTGCCTTCCAGAATTAGTCCTGTCTCTGGAGTCTGGAAAACTGGGTTGAAATCTCCCAAGTGCAGACTCTGCTGCAAGATGCCTGGAACTGACCAAATTAGAGTTTTTCCATGAACAGGCTCCTTTGGGGCATCTCTTTCTTTTTTCCTTTTCTACCTCAATGCTGACATCAGTTTGACCAAGCAAGAGCCCCCTGCCCCCACTTGAACCTCAGATGTGGAGAGTGAATCACACAGACCTTGGAGAAAGGCATTCCTGACTCTTGAAAAAGAACTGCTGCTGAGAAGGAGCTTGGGCTGGATCTCCTTAGAAATCAAATCTCCCTTTTGGTGGAGCAGTTTATTGTCTCCGTTTTTTCCAAATGCCAATCCCTGGCACAACTTGAGGTTGTTTTCCCTTGTCCAGTCCCTTGTGACCCCTTGGAAAAGACCAACCCCCACTGGGCTCCTGAGGGAGTCTGTGGAGATGCCAGCTTTGCATCCCAACCTGCCCTTGCAGCATCACAGGGGAAGGAAAAACATCAAAAGAGAAGCCCTGTCTCTAAGAGGGGATCAGAGATCTCCAAAGGCAGCTCCCAGAGCAGGGAGAAGCTCCTTTTGTGAGCCTAAAGCTGGAAATAAGCCCATGTGCAAAGTCCATCCTCCATCCCAAGCTATTCCCACACCTCACTGAAGCCATTTTGGAGACAGGCAAGCAAGTGTCCCATGACTGTCCCCAGAGAAACCATCACCCCAACACATGCAGGACCTCGTTATCCCTGCCTGCTTCCACAGAGGCCAATCCCTCCCCAGGAGCAGCTGCACAGAGAGGAACCACATTCCAGCTCTGGTCAAACAGCCAACGATTGACCCAGTGCAGCTTTTCCAAAGCCTATTGATCCCCAAGCCCACGGGCCAAGGTCCATCCGGAGGGCTGGGAAACTCCAGCACGTGCTGGGGACACTGCAGGCAGCTCCAGGGCCAAGGATCACTTCAGGCATCTCTTTTTGTGTGTAATCTGAAGCACTTGCACAGCCCCGCTCTCCAGGGACCCTGAGCCACTCTCCTGACCTCACTGAATTAAGTATGGCAATAAAATGTGCACTGAATTAATCATCTGCATCTCCAACGTGAGAAACTGCTGTGCAGGGGCTCACAGGAGCGGCTGCAGGGATTTAGGGATCTCACTCCAATGGAAGGCAGTGGGGTTTGGATGCCTGAAGACTTTCTGGTCATACAGCCAAGGTCTTCCAAACCCCAGCTGTAAGACTCAGTCTGGACTCCTAGATCTCATCCCTGAGAACCCTTCTCCCATAAAAAGTCAGGCTGGTCAGGACTTGGAGCACCCTGACCAGGGAACAAGATGAACTTTAAGGTCCCCCAGCCCAAACCATTCTGAGATTCTCTAATTCCATGACCATGGGAAGAGTCACCAGGACTGGGAGCTTGGGTGAATGAACCTCCCACCCTCTGGGAAGAGGAGCTTGCACTGCAGGGTTCTTGCAGTCCAACAGCTGATTGCTGCAAAGCTGGGATGAAGAGGGATCTGGAAGAGCAGCAGGAAATCAGGGATCCCATATTTCCCCCAGAGGTTCCAGGTAAGGTGAGAAACATCCCAGGCACAAAGCAGCCTCTGGAAAACGAGGTGCAGAGAGCTCCTTTGGAAAGTTCAGCCCGGCTCTGCTGGGAAAAGGAGGAATCATTTCCATTCCCAATTGGCAGCAGAGGCAGCTCGGGCTGATTTCTATCTCATTTTAGAAGGAGAGTAGAGAGATGCAATCCCTTACAGGGTTTTCAAGGAATATCCCTCCTCATGCTTTACTTCTCTGAGCCAGGCACTTCTTCCTGCTCTTCCCATTCCCAGCCCGTACAAGCTCCCAGAGCTGTGCTGGGGCACAGGACAGTCCCATCCTCCTGGAAGCGTCTCTGCGCTGGAAATAACAATTAAAAGAACCGAAAGACGATCCTAATTGCCCCTCCCCCCCAAATGTCTGACAGCAGTTTCTCAGGCTGAAGTGATGCAAATAGCTCAGATAAGGCTCAGATAAAGTATCTGTGCTCTCAAGGGCTTATCTGAGCTGAACACCAACTCCAAAAATCCTGAAATTTGCCCCGTGGGACTGTCTCTGGAGCTTGATTTCCATCTGAAGCCCCGACCTCCAGAGGCTGCAGAAACAGCTCCTGTTCAAATGCATTCTTGAGATAGCAGGGTGGGACCCGGCAGGTCTGCAGCTCCCCTGTTGCTGCTATCGGGGATTTGCCTCCTGGTGGGAATGTCGCAAGAGCGGGGCTGATGGCTCAAGGAACCGGTGACGGCACCTTTCACCACCCCCGCTCACACCAGAGCCTTCCCTGCTCTGATGGAAAGATCACTTTCCCTTGGATAGAGATTGTTCCGTGCTGGCTTTTGCTTTCAGGCCCTGCTCAGGGATTCCAGGCAGAGGGAAAGGCTTGTGGGGCAGCTCAGAGTGCTGGGAATTCCCTCAGGGACTGTGTGGGCATCGGGATAAGATCGGGGTTCCTGGGGGCAGCAGGGCTCTGGGTGCAAAGTCTGCCCGGGTTCTCTGACAATCCCGGCCGGGGATTTACAAAGGGATGCAAAGGGAGTCAGCAATCCCTGGGACAAGGGATGGAACAGACCCGGCTCCCACCAATGGCCAGTTCTGATAGTCACTTCTAAACATTCCTGCTTAGCCATCCATCCTTCCCAAAAACACACAGAGCTGCCTGGCAGTGACACCCAGCTCGGGATGGGAAAGGACCCGGGAAGTCCAAGGCCAGGCTGGCAGAGGGATAATTGGGATCTGTTTGTAAGCTGGTACATAGGGGCCTGGGCTCACACCCGGGAGCACCAAGGGTCTCCCATCTCCTGGCCAGATCCCATATTCCACATGCTCCACAGACACTGGAGTAAAAGAGAGCAGGAAGGATCCCTCCCTGGAGGGTTTGCGACCAAACAATCCACAATCTAATCTTTTCTACACCTCATGCAAATCTGGCAAGGATGGGAAAACGGAGCTTTCTGCAAACCTTTCAAAGCTCTGCAGAAATTGCCCAAATGCCGCTGATCCAAGCAGAGATTTCCTCTCTGCAGAGGTTTGCAGCCGGCAGGCAGAGTTCTCAGGCAAGAATAATGATGAAATTCTATAGGATGCCTCATAAACCAGAGAAAAAAATTCATTTCCTACTAAAAATTCCCAACGGCTCATTCCCAAAGGGCCACAGAGTGCTGCAGAGTGCTGACTCCCCTTCCACCCCACGCCTCACCCTGGCCAGAAAACGGGGATTGATGGAAAATGTGTGGGCAGGTCTGGGCTCCCAGGGCTCTGCAGCACCAGGGTGAACCATGAGGTACCAAAACCCAGGGATTGAGGGAAAACATGCAGGCAATGCCCAGCTCGCAGAGCGCCATGGCAAAGCCAGCCCCAGGGTTAACCACGAGCCCCCAGATCCCAGGGATTGAGGGAAAATGAGTGGACAGAGTCCAGTTTGAGCAGTGCTGGAACCAGAGTGAACCAAAAGGCATCAAATCCCAGAGATTGAGGGAAAATGAGTGGGCAGAGTCGAGTTTGAGCAGTGCTGGAACCAGAGTGAACTGCAAGGCACCAAATCCCAGGGATTGAGGGAAAACTCTCCTTTGGCACTGGCAGCCCCAGGGTTAACCACGAGACACCAGATCAGAAAAGGAGTGGGCAGAGTGGGGCTCCCAGCACTGGGAACACCAGAATGAACCACAAGGCACCAAATCCCAGGGATTGAGGGAAAACGCTCCATGGCACTGGCAGCCCCAGGGTTAACCACAGCGGCGCCCTGTGAGGCAGCGATTTCTGCTTTATTTCAGCAGGGGAAGTGTGTCCCGGCCTGATTAGCCCAATGGTTTCCTCTTTTCCCATAACCTCCAGACCCCCATGGCCTAAGTGTTTACTTTCTGAAATAAAAAATCTGCCAGTGTTTTTCTTTTTGCGGGGCATGTGTATTTTGGGAGGATTCGGGGGGAGGGAAGCGGAGGGGGAGTTGAATGGGACGGGAGGCTGGCGCACACCTCCCTCCCCTCTCCCACCCCTCACCCCAGCTCCTTCCCAGCTGCAGCCTCGGAGCTGAGACTTCTGGCTTCGATGTGAGGAAGAGAGAGAGAGAAACGCATTAATGAGAGAGTTCAGGCTCTTGCTCCAGCAGCCATAAACACAAGGAACATCTGGAGGGAGAGAGAGGTGCTCTGAGCTGCCAGGGGCTGAAAGGATCAGGCTGTTTGCAGGGTCCCGGATTCCCCGCTCCCCACAGCCCCTCTCCTGGCATCCCACTGTCCACCCAGGGAGAAAACACGATCAGAGAATCCCAAAGGTTGGAGAAACCCTCTAAGATCATCCAGTCCAACCATTCCCCCAGCACTGCCAGGTCTGCCACTCAATTGTGTCCCCCAGGGCCACATTTACACATTTTTTTTAACATTCAAGGGAGAGGGATTCCACCTCTTCTCTGGGAAGCCTGTTCTAAATATCTCTCCTCACTTCTGCTGGCCTCCCTGCTCCTCAGCAGCCCAGCAAAGCCCCCCTAAGTGCTGCTACAAGGGCTGGCCATGGGCAACCAAACCCTCTGGAGAGGGCTGTGCTGCCCAGTGTCCCCACAGGGCACAGTTCCAAGGAATTTTCTTGGGAAAGCTCAAACACCACACCACACCCCGCCCCCTTCCCCCCAGTTTTGCTTTCTGTGGCCTGTCTGAAGTGTTTGGTGGTTCAGGATGGTTTCCTCCTCTGGAAAACCAAACAGGTACATCCAGCTCACTCCATCCCTGCAGAGGGGTCAGTCCTGCTCCAAGAGCACCCCAAAATCAGACCAGTTCTGCAGGCAGCCCCAAGGCACCACACAAGCCCTGGACAGGCTGTGGCTCAGTTCCCTTCCTCCTGGGCTCTACATCCCCTTATCCCTTTCCCAAGGCACACTGGAGCTCTCGGTGCTGCTGCTCATTTTTGCAGCTCCCAAACTTGAGTTTTGCCTCTTGCTGAGCTCCCACCCCACTGTTACACCTGAGAACCCCAACACATCTCCAGGCTTCTCTCAAAACCCACACACCAGCACTCCAGCTTTCCCCCACCCTCATCCCAATGTCCTGATCCCTCATCCCAGCTCACGTGGGAAAAGGGTTCTGAGCTCGTTCTCTGCTGATGACCAAGGCACAGGGAGCTCCCTGGGGTTTTGTCTTGGAGAGGTGACACAGGGAATTTTCCAGAGTCAGGCAGGAAACAAATGGAAAAGTGAAAGCCTGGATTTTTGTCATTCTGTTGCCTCAGTGCAAATAATCCTCTGCAAGTGCTGAGTTGCAGCAGGTCCCAGCATCACTGTCATGGGAACACCTTTGTGTGTTTTCCTCACCTGAGAAACAACAGGATCCACAGGAACCAGGCACTGCAGCTCCCACTGACCTGAGAGCAAAGCAGGGACTGCTCTTCCTTCCCAGCAGATTCGAACCCACCACAGGCATCCCACAGCCCTGCAATTCATTCCCAAGGCATGGAGGGATCTCCTCTCTCCACCAACAGATTGGAAAGTGCCCTTAACTGAGAAAATGATGTGTGTCCTTCAACAGCCCAGAGTGTCCCAGCACAGCAGCTGGAACTGGCCTTTAACTGGAGCCAATGGACTACCCAAAGATCCACAAAGGGAAAGGAAAGGAAACCCCCATTCCAGCCAGGCCCAGAGAGGCTGTGCCACCTCAGTGGCCAGAGGGTGACAACAAAGCCCAGAATCCCCAGTCAGCCCCTGGGCCAGGGAGAGCTGTGGATCAGGGAATGCTGCAGTAGGTTGGGAAGGGGCAGGATTCTGTGCAGGGCTTTTTCTGAGCCGTGGAATGAATTCCCATCCCGTGCATCCCTCCCTGTGGGGGCTTACCCTGATTTTCCCCCATCCTGCTTCCCTTCACCTGCTCCTGGTTTGTTAAAGAGGGTGAGGAGGGCCTGGCTGCTCCAGGGAAGGCCTGGCTGGCCCAGGGATGATCCTTGCTGGCCCAGGGGTGATCCTGGCTGGCCCAAGGAAGGGCTGTGCTGGCCCAGGGGTGATCCTGGCTGGCCCAGGGGTGATCCTGGCTGGCCCAAGGAAGGGCTGGCTGGCCCAGGGGTGATCCTGGCTGGCCCAGGGAAGGGCTGGCTGTCCTGCAGGCAGGAGCAGCAGCTGTGCATGCCCTGTGAGAAGGCGCCCATTCATCTCTGCGAGAGCGTGCGGGGGAGGCAGCGCAGCACAGGGGAGGGGGAAGTGTTGGAGGAGGCTGAGAAAAGGAAGGAGGCCGCAGTTAAAAATAGGATAAAAGGCCATGAAAAAAAAAAAAACAACAAAAAACAACATTTAAAAAAAAAGCTTCGCTCGGAAAATGCTCTGCAGCTGGAGAAGCCATCGGGCTGAGCCTGGTCAGCTTTACCTTCCCCCTCCTCCTCCTCCTCCTCCTCCTCCTCCTCCCCAAGCCCCCTTCCTCGGAGCGTGGGCCTGGAAGGAGGCCCAGAAAGCGCTCACAGAACGTTTTCCTGCAGGGTTGTCCACCGGGACAAGAGCAGGCAAAGGAGCAGCACAAGTGGGGAAAGCAGAGAGGCTTGACCAGGGGTGAGGGCAGCCCCTGGGAGCCCGGCCTGTGGGCCAGGATGGGCTGGGAGCTGGGCTGGAAACAGGATCACAGGATCACAGGGATCACAGGGATCACAGGATCACAGTGTCACAGGGATCACAGGGATCACAGGATCACAGGGTCACAGGGTCTCAGGATCACAGAGTCACAGGGATCACAGGGATCACAGGGATCACAGGGATCACAGGGATCACAGGGATCACAGGTCACAAGATCACAGGATCACAGTGTCACAGGGTCACAGGGATCACAGGGATCACAGGGATCACAGGATCACAGTGTCACAGGGATCACAGGGATCACAGGATCACAGGATCACAGGATCACAGGGATCACAGGATCACAGGGATCACAGGGATCACAGGGATCACAGGGTCACAGGATCACAGGGATCACAGGATCACAGGGATCACAGGGATCACAGGATCACAGGGATCACAGGGTCACAGGATCACAGGATCACAGGGATCACAGGGATCACAGGGATCACAGATCACAGGGTCACAGGATCACAGGGATCACAGGGATCACAGGGATCACAGGGATCACAGGGATCACAGATCACAGGGTCACAGGATCACAGGGATCACAGGGATCACAGGGATCACAGATCACAGGGATCACAGATCACAGGGTCTCAGGATCACAGGGATCACAGATCACAGGGATCACAGGGATCACAGGGTCTCAGGATCACAGGGATCACAGGGATCACAGATCACAGGGTCACAGGGTCACAGGGATCACAGGGGGAGTGATCCACCCACCATCCACCCCTGCTTGCTGTGGGGCATTGCACACTGAGGTGTTTCTTCAGCTGCAAGGGTTTGGCTCTCCTGGCCAAATCAGCTCAACACCAGACTGCCAGGACTTGATGCCCATGAAGCACCAGCTCTGCTTTTGGCTCTCCAAAAGATCCCTGGAATTGTTCAAGGCCAGCCTGGACATGGCTCAAAGCAATCTGCTCTGGTGGAAGGTGTCCCTGCCCATGGCAGGGCATTGGAATGAGATGATCCTTCCAACCCAAACCATTCTGGGATTCTGTGATTCACTTCCCAGGGAAGCCAGGAGCACTCCCCCAAATGCTCCAGGAGTATCCAAAAGGCTGGGAATGCCTTCAGCCCAAGGATGCTAATTCAGCACAACAGTTGTAGAAATTTCTTCCGCTGGAGTCGGAGTCATTCCATCCCTCACTTGCCATTAACAACAGTTTTATCTCCACTATCAGCAAGGAAAACAAACCCACTCCGAGTGGAAGGGGCTGTCAAAGTGGCCTTGGCTCCTAAAGGCAGTGCAGCCAGCACTGTGTCCGTGCTGAAATTGGAATGGAATCACAGAATCCCGGGGTGGTTTGGGCGGGAAGGGACCCTAAAAATCAACTCATTGCAACCCTTGCAGCAGGGCAGGGTGCCACCCCTAGATCAGCTTGCTCAGAGCCTCACAATCATTTAATAATTCCACTAGCAAATCTTTTCTTCCGCTCCAGTTTTACACCCAACCTTGTATAATCCAAAAAATACTCCCAGGGAGGAATATTAGGATCCTATTTCCTTATGAATTCACCATAAGGTGCTAAGTGTGGCTTTCAGCATCCCTTCAGCAATGCTTTGGGCAGGCACGGGGCACCTGCAGTTGGGTGGCCGAAGGAGCAGCCAAGGTGCCTTTACAGTCCTGATGTCACCTGTGCAAGGAGCAGAGCTCCTGTCCACGAGCAGCCACAGCTCCCCTCTGGATGGCCTTGTCCTGTCACCCCTGGGCTGGGCCTTTCCCTCACTGTGGTGATTCCTGGGCAGTGACATGCCCAACATGTGCACCACACATTGTGGTGCAAGCTGACAAATAAAACTGACTCCAGCCCATTTTCAAATGTTGGCCTTTCAAGCCAAAAAAACTCCACCCCTTCTTGCTTTATCTACGAGTGAAATCCACATCAGGCTTTCCTTTATCCATATCACAGAATAATCTTATCAGCTTCAAGCACAGTGTAAATAAACTTGCCCAAGCTTCAAAGGCAAAGCATCTTCCCTAAACGCAAGCAGCCCTCAAACTCTTAGAAATGCTGTGGGTTTCTATTGCAGGAGGATATATTCACACTTGCATTTTCCTTGTTGACTTGTTTCTTTCACCAACATCAAGACCATGAAAACCAAAATAGCCTCTGGTGCAGCAGAAGAATAGATGACAAATGGTTTTCATGTGCAGCCGAGACACAAAGGAGAAATGAAAGGCTGTTCCTGGCCCCATATACAAATAAGAGTTTCCTCTCATTTAAAATTAGAAACTGCTCTAGACTGAAGAACCAGCAACATTAAAAAACAGATCAGAGAAAGAGCACCTTGCATTGCAACAGGAAGAGCTGAAAAGTAATTTTTAGGTATTGCAAGAAACCCAGGGGCCTGTCCTACTCATCCTAACTCACTGAAAACTGGATTAAAATCTGTGGAAGCAACAGCTTGGATTTCTTTCCCTGGCTTTACTAATATTTGAGGCAGGCTCCAGCCTCTGCAACAAGAAAGTTCACAGAGCCATCATGGAGTAAGGAAGATCTGGGCTGCAGATATGTTGGTCCCTGGAGAGAGCACTTTCACAGAAAACAGGAGAGGGTTGGGAAAAAAAGCCCTAAAAAAACTTTCCAGGCACAGACTTGCAAAATGTTTGAGCAAATCCAAATGCTGCCAGGGCAGATTTCATCAGAGCAGAGCTGACATCATGCTGAGAGAGGTCACCCACAGGAGTTGAGCAAATAGCTGGGATAAGGATGCCTGGGAATAGCAGAGGGGCTTTGCTCCAGCCACAGACACAGCTCTCTGTGTCCATCTCCTGCTCACCAAAGGAGAAAGGAAAAAAACCCAAATGCCTGAACCTTTGCCAAGGAGAGATTTCAAACTGCACACTTGACCACAGCAGTCACGGGCTCTGCAGAAGTCCTCAGCTGCAGAAAGCCTCTGGACATCAGGGCTTTCCCTCCCCAGGGGCCAATGAGCAGCACTAACGAGCAGGAACTGCTCACAGGAGAGCAGCACATGCCACGGGAAAGCTTTCACGGGATTTAAGTGCTTCAGGACAGGCTTATGTGGGACTAAAGTGAAACATAAACTTCATCTTGGCCCTTGGCAAAGGTCACCAGTGTGCAACTTGAGCTCTTTCTCTTGGTTCTGTGGCTGGGCTGTGCTGGGGGGTACCTGAGCCCTGGCTGCTCCCTCCTCACCCAGCCCAGGCCAGAGAACATCTGCCCTGCCAGCTGTTCATACAGGAGGCCTGGAACCCCAGGATGGGCTGGCTTGGATGGCACCTTAAAGCTCATCTCATTCCACCCCTCCTTCCACACCACAAGAAATGGCCCAAAGTGCAAGCTCAGCATGAAAATTCATGTGTTGAGGCAAGAATCGGACACTGGTGCTTTTCTAACAACTTCCAAACTAGAAAGGTGTAGGAAGAGACATTCCCTAGGTCCTGGAAGGGAAGACATTCCCTAGGTCCTGGAAGGGAAGACATTCCCTAGGTCCTGGCAGGGAGTTGCTTTAGCTGATGGTCCAGCATGGCCTCTCCTCTCCAGCTCTGGTGGCGACCAATCTTCCAAGGAATCATAAAATCCCAGAACTGGGTTGAAGAGACCTTAAAGGCCATCCAGTGCCACTCCCTGCCATGGCCAGAGACATTTTCCACTATCCCAGGCTGCTCCAAATGTCCCAACCTTGGATGCTTCCAGGGATGGGGCAGCCCCAGCTGCTCTGGGCACCCTGTGCCAGTGCAAAGCATTGAGTCACAAGAGACCCAAAGTTACCACCAGAGCAGAATGAAAATTTGGGAATTCCTGGTTCCTTGCAAGCCTCCATGGATTCCACTTTCCATGGAGCCAGGACATGAGTCCTGCAAGCACCAGGAGAAATGCAGAGGATGCATTTCCAGCAGTTTGGGAAGTCCACCCTGCCCATGGCAACCTCCCAACATGAAAGGGAGGTGCACACAGAACCTCAACATTCAAAAAAAAAACCCAGCAAAATCACCAGCTGAAAGGGGAGAGGAGTTGTCCCATACCATGGCTGGGAAGAAGGAAGCTCCCACCGTTCAGTATCACTTCAATAGGAGGACAATAGATTAAAAAAAAAACATATTTAAGGTTTTTTTTCTGCTTTCTGGGCCAATCTTCACTAAGGAAGACCCCTGGCACAATCAAGGCAGGTGATGCTGTGCCTGAGGGGGGCATTCAGGGCAAAAACCCCAATAAATGAAGGCAGGACTGGGGAAGAAGGAGATCATTGAGGGGACACAACAAACAGAGCCTGGTGGGGATTCAGGAGTGCTTTTCCAGCTGAGGCTGCTCCGAGCCCCCAGCACAGGGAAGGTGCCACCCCCATGTCCTATAAATGCCACCTCCGTGTCCTACCCGTGCCACCCCCACATCCTACCTGTGCCACCTCTTTGTCCTATCAATGCCATTCCCATGTCTCACCTGTACCACCCCCTTGTCCTACCCATGCCATCCCCATGTCCTCTCAATGACATCCTCTTGTCCCACCCATGCCATCTCCTCATCCTACCTGTGCCATCATCGTCCCACCTGTGCCACCCCCTTGTCTTACTCGTGCCACCCCCACATCCTATCCGTGCCATCCACATGTCCCACCCATGTCACATCTGTGTCCTACCCATGCCATCCCCATGTCCTATCAATGCCATCCACTTGTCCTACAGATGCCATCATCATGTCCCACCTGTGCCACTCCCGTGTCCCACCCGTGCCGACCCCATGTCCTATCAATGCCATCCCCTTGTCTCATCCATGCCACTCCCACATCCTATCCATGCCATCCACATGTCCCACCCATGCCACATCTGTGTCCCACCCGTGTCCCACCCGTGCCACCCGTGTCCTACCCGTGCCACCCGTGTCCTACCCGTGCCGTAGTGCTCCAGCCCGGTGGGCACCTCCTGCGTGGCGGGCTCGTCCCACAGCGGGCAGCAGGGCCGGGGCTGGCAGCAGGACGCCTGGAAGCCACAGGTGACCCAGGGATCCTCGCAGGGACCTGGCACTCCTTGTTTCTGGAATGATCGGGGGGAGCTGTCAGGGGAGCGGGACCCCAAAATGCGCGGGGGCAAGGGGGCATCCCCCAGAAACTGGGCTGGCAGATGCCAACTCTCATCGGGCTCCGGGGGAACGGGACAGGACCGAAAATGGCCTTTTTTGAACCCAAATGAGGAGAGAAGTGAAGGTCAGAGCGTGCAGGGTTCCAGCGTGAGGGGTCCCCATGGGGACACCCTCGGTGACAGGGCTTGTTCCCCTCCCCATAACTGCGAGTGACATTTGTAGGCAGCAGAAAGCCCCAAAATGTGGGGGCTCACCGGGGGGGCAGAACCTGCCCAGGCACTGGGAGGGAGCCTGGTCCCAGCTGGAACATTTGTGTTCCTCTTCCTATGTACAGGGATAAGATTTGGGATTATTTTCTTTATATTTGGGTTATTTATATTTATATTGGTCTTATTGTTGAGCCCACAGATATATTTATACACATGGGATGCATACGTGGGTATATGAGTTACATTTATTTAAATATATATTGTATATATAATATATATTTATATATATTTTTCCTCTTCATATTTATAGGGATAATATTTGAGATTATTTTCTCTATATTTATATTTATATTGGTCTTACTGTTGAGCCCACAGACATATTTATATACATGGTATGCATGCATGGGTAGATGAGTTATATTTATTTGAATATATATAGAATATATATTTATATATATATTTTCCTCTTCCTATTTATAGGGATAATACTTGGGATTATTTTCTTTATATTTGGGTTATGTATATTGGTCTTATTGTTGTGCCCACAGACATATTTATACACATGGTATGCATACATGGGTATATGAGTTTTATTTACATATATATAAATAATATTTATACATATATTATAGATAATATAGATGATATATAGTATAGATAATATATAATATCTATAATATATATTATAGATAATATATATTGTATATGTATTTTTATATATATTTATGTTCCTCTTCCTATTTATAGGGGTAATATTTGAGATTATTTTCTGTATATTTGGGTTTTTATATTGGTCTTACTGTTGTGCTCACAGACATATTTATACATGTGGTATGAACACATGTGAGTTATATTTATTTATATATATTATATAATATATATAGGTATGAGATATTATATATATTTATTTCTAAATTTATTTTCCTCTTCCTATTTATAGGGATAATATTTGGGATTCTTTTCTTTATATTTGGGTTATTTATATTCATACTGGTCGTATTGTTGAGCCCACAGACATATTTATACATGTGATATGCATACATGGGTACATGAGTTATACACTTCATACAAAATGTACAGGTGCATATATAATTTATATAATATAATGTATTATTACCCAAAAATTACATAATATACTGTATTATTATGTGTTAACACACAATACATTATAGATGTACTGATTTTATGTGTGATATCAGCATTCATACAACCACACCTATGTAATCCTATTTTATAACTCAATATAAATTACACATTTATTTTCATTGTGTATGAAGCTAAATTTATACTTTATAAAGAAAATATATTTATTAGCTATAGACATAGAGGTATTTAGAAACAGATTTTTTTAGATTGGGAACAAAGCTTTAATAAGTGATCCCAGGATATAATTTTGATTTTATTTTATACATACCTATTTTATATTTTATATATATATTTATGTACATATAGTGTGTGCATATAAATGTACACACCATATTTATTATGTGCATCTGTGTGTATTTGTTATATATATATTTACCATGGATACACACACATATATATCATATAATAAATACATTGCATTTAAGTGTTTGTCTCCCTAGAAAAGGACAATACCATGCACATACCTATAAATAAATGCAGGATGTTTGAATTTTTTGTCATTGTTACCATTTCCCTGTGGGGGAATAGATTTCCTTGATGGCAAATCAATATTTAAAAGCCAAATGCTCGCTCGGAACCATTTAAAGGAAAACTATGGATCTGCCTTGGGAATATTTCCCAGCTCAGGGTGGGCTTTTCTTCCCAATTTGGGGGAAATTTTGGGGTTTAGCACAAGTTCTTTGCAGCCTGACGTGTCAGCCCAGAGCTCATCTGACCTCTAATGCTCAGCAGTTCTTTGGACAAATGGTTAGAAATGTCACTTCTCTAAATTGACACCTGATTTCTCTGATTATAGGGCTGATTTATTTCAATATGGATCAGATTTCCCTAAATGTGGATCTGATTTCCCTAAAAAAGGCTCAAATCCCTGCCCTACCTACCCCAAGATCACACTCCAACCTCTGTTATACACAACCACCCATCAGCTGCAAACAGAACTGAGCTGGCTCGGGACAGGGAGCATCAGAATGGTCCCAAAATTCCAGAAAAACCACAGGAACCCTTCCCAAATGCTGCCCTGCCCCGTGCTGATCCCACTGATCCCGGCTGGAGGTCAGCAGGGGGAGCAGGCAATGCATCCCCTGACACTCCTCCCAGCACAGGCACAGAAACCCCAAACAGGACCCCATTCCCAGGGGAGATCTGCAGGACCCCATTCCCAGGGGAGATTTGAAGGAGCCCATTCCCAGGGGAG